CCCCATGCGGCCCGCGCGGCTCGCGCGTGATTGATTTGCATCGTCCCGGGTTCAGTATGCCCGGGTCTGCGAGCCCGTCACCCCCAACCCCATTTAGAGTTGCGGGGGGGTGGACGGGGGCGTGCCTGTAAAAACAGCCCCCCCTTTGCATCCTCGGTGCAGCTGAACTAAGGACCGCAGGGAGCCGGGGCGGCGGGAAGGGAGGCTCCGCTGGGTCCACTGAGTTAAGGTGTGATTCAGGGGGGCTCGGAGGAGGTGAGGGCGCCGCCCCCGCTTCTCTGGAATCCCCACGCCAGTGAAGCTATAATCTTGTGTCGGTGACACCCTGTCTGTTGTCATGGAGACGGACTCGCACACTAACGAGCGTTCTCAATGAGGGCTGCACGGGTGTGCAGAAGGTGGAATGGTGAGCAGGAACCGAGTTTACATGTAACTGCGATTGCAGCGCTTGGCATTTTTTGGAAAAAAAGGATGGACCAATGGCAGCCAGCCAGCGAGGCAGGTGGGGCTGGGCCTCATCACTCCAGGGTGACCAGGGGGAAAGGGGCGTGGGATGGGGCTGCACCCGTCCCCACCCCCACCCTCGGACTCCCACCCCATGGGCATATGAATGACTTGGCAGCACAGCTTCGGACCGAATTTCGTCTTCCTGGGTAGTTTAGGCACACTAGTAGGAAGATTTTTATTTTGTTATTATTTTATGAATACTATTTGGGGTGACAGTAGACACAACCAAACATCCATCCACTCGAAATTTCTACACCAACAGTGCAGTGACATTGTCTGCATGCTTTGTACTGTGTCACCATTCTGTCTCTGCCCACGCGGTCCCATCACCAGGCTTTGAGGCTCTCTAGGACCAGGTTGGTGTTGCCATTTTGTGGGCCACCCAGAGGCAGCCGCCCTGCCGGAAAGCTGAAGGACTAGGACTGGGGGGTGGGGGGGTGGGAGGCCAGTGAGAATTTGTTTCTGACTTGGTCTGCCACCCTGACAATGGTAACGCGGGGGGCCTCCTGTATCCGAATCGGGTGCGGGGGCAATAGTGCCGATTCCCAGACCCTGCTCGGGCTCTGCATTTTAACCAGCACTCATCTGGGAGGACAGTACTCTGTACCTCCTCTCTCTTGGGAGGACTTTTATGCAGCACCCACTCCCCACCAGCCTGGACCCAGGCAACGCCTGAGGCTGTCAAAGCCAGCAAGCTATTCTGGAGCGATTTGGAGAGAGCCGATTTGGAGAGAGCCGGCAATTGACATTTGTCTCTTTGTCATCTTTTAAGAGCATTGCTGAATTAATTTAAAACACATTTTTAAAAGACTGAAATTAAAGGGATAAACCCCCCCCCTTTTTTTTTTGGTTCAGAAAAATGGGAACTTTTCATTAATTTGATTTTGGGATTGTTTCCGAACCCATTAAAACTGTTCAATTTAAATGGCAAGACGTTTTAAAGTTCAGAGTTAAGTTTCCATTGGTCTTGGGCACTTTGGGCCCAATTATTTCAAAGCACGTAGTTGTAAAAGCAGACCTTTCAAAGCAGACCTTTGGGGGTGCAATCGGAGTGCAGTAACCCTAAAACCCACTGCCATCGAGTCCGTTCTGACTCAGAGATTCTGTAGCACAGGATCGAATTGCCCTGTGAGTTTCTGAGACTATAACTTTTTTTTTTTTTTAGACTATTAACTCTTTAAGGGGCTAGAAAATCTTTCTCTCGTAGAGTGGCTGGTGGTTTTGAACTGCTAACACTTGTGGTTTTGCAGCCCAGCTCATAACCAGTCCGCCACCAGAGCCCCAGACTGTAGTACAACAGTGGACACTGCTGAATGCAAAGGACTAGGGACAGAAAGGACCGGGGACAAGCTGTAGGGAAGACATTTCAGCTTTCTGTCTGTAGGTGCTTGGGGTTGTCAAATGCTTAGTCATCCTCACACACCAGGTAACTCCTTTGTTAAACAATCTGGAGAGACTCAATTTACCCCTCCCCCAAACCAAACAGGTTGCTAGTATCTTGATTCCAACTGATGGCAATCTCATCTGTAACAGCGCAGGACAGAGCTCCTGAAGATTTTCTTGGCCCTGATCATTACAGAAACAGAGCACCAGGCCAATTCTCCAAGGGTAGCTGGGTGGATTCGAGCGATCTTTTTGGTTAGTAGCCAGACGGTTTTCACCCCCTAAGGACCATGAAGTTACCTCTAGCCCATGATCTGAAGGCGCCCCGGTGGCATAGTGGGCTACGAGTTGGGCTGCTAACCATGAGGTTGGTTGTTCAAAACCACCAGCTGCTCCATGAGAGAAAGATGAAGCTTTCTACTCCCATAAAGAGTTACAGTCTTGGAAACTAACTCTGTAGAGTAGTTCTACTCTGTCCTGGAGGGTCACTATGAGTCTGGAATCGATGGCAATCTTGTTTGTTTTGTTTTTTGTTTATGAGTCTGCAGGGAATATGGTCACTTTCACTAGGAAATGGTGTGCATCTGCTTGCCCTGGGAGCCATCTTTCAATAGCCCAGAGGTTATGTGAGGGGTTTCCCTTCTTCAAACAACAGCAGCAAAACAATTTACGAATATGAAAATCCTTATGTGTCCTTATCACACTTCCTGGTCAATGACTCATCTGGCTCTGTGGATGCCCAGGCCCATACACGCATGCACACGATGCCCAGGTTGAAGAGCTCCTGTTCCCACCTCTGTGTCTTGTCAACGGGAGCTGAGAGCCAGAGCCTTGCTGCCGGCAACTCAGAGCCCAGGAAATGCTGTCAGGGTTGCTGCACCCTGTCACACCTCTTCCGCTGATGACCTCACTCTGGAATTCTGTGACCACGGGAGTGGGAGGTGTGTGGGGTGGGGGGTTGGGCATGCATGGCGGGAGAGCTGCCCAGGGCTCTGCCCCATTTTGCCATGTCAGAGGCCTGGGTGTCCCTAAGGGGTGCAAATGGTTGGCTACTAATGGAAAGGCTGGTGGTTTGAACCTACCCAGTGGAACCACAGAAGAAAGACCTGGTGACCCGTGTGTGTAGATTATAGCCGAGAAACCCCCTGAAGCAGCCCCCCTCTGTAGCTCCACGAGTTGACATAGAACTAGATGACACTAGTGTTTTTGGATCTGAGGCCTTCCCAGGACAACTGCTGATCTGCCCCCAAAGTCACAGGTACATGCAGGGGCTATCTTTTAGTTGAACTTCCTCCCTTTTGAGGGCACTGGACTTCTGAAAATGCACTCAATTTAGACATCACAGTGGTCACCCGGGAAGGGAAAAGCAGGGGAAACTGATGAGCACTGATGGATTGAGAAATTTCCAGGAAACATCAGTTGCGTATTTATTAGGGAACATCACTTTTGAATGACCCTGAGTTCTCTGCCCCGAGCAAGGATTCTGGCAGAAAAAATGGCCTGGACTCGTTACAGCATTTGGTCATGTGGAAGGAATGATCTTCAGGAAAAAGTCCACTCTCCACAAAGGCATGCTACAGGGGCCCGGCTGGGTACGCGCCAGCTCTGACATGTCACAGGGAGGGAGCCAGGCAGACTTAGTCATCCCTGACTGTGGAGCGCTCCTTCCGCCCCCAACTCCTTGTATAACTTTCTTTAGGGAGGGGTGGAATCTGGGGAAGAAAAACAGCAGCATGTTGACAATGGGGGGTGGGGTAGGGGGGCGCTGGGAAGAGCATTTGGGTGATGGGGTGAACATTGGTGGATGTTCCTGAGCCTGACCCAGCCGGTGGTCTCTCCTCCAGTCTCTGCTGAGATGCTGGGAAAACAAGGGGGGATTAGGCAGAGAGAAAGCCAGCTCAGAAGCTGTAGCACTCAATTTAGCACTTTACAAATACCAGCTTACTAATTAATCACCACAAACACTCTGTAGTCATCAGGAAATCCTTGATGAGCGTGACGGAGAAAGATGTGCAGGGGTTCAGGGTTCAGGTAACCCAGATACTCATCTGGAGCCATTGGGTGAGGGGAGCAGGCGGGTCACAGTCTGGTGAGTCTTAGAGACCTTCTTGCCTCTTGCAAAGTCTGGAAGCCCTGCAGGCAGTGCAGGTGCCACTGGAGGGAGGGGGAGGGGTCAGGCAGATGCTTGCAGTTCAGGAGGAGAGAGGATGATGGGGACAGTGGCTTTCGGCAGAGCCATTTTCAGGTCATTAGAAGCTAGCCAGGAACCCTGGTGGTATAGTGGCTGGGTGCTGGGCTGTTAACCACAAGGTCAGCAGTTCACACCACCAGTCCCTATAAGGGAGAAAGATGAGTCTTTTTGCTCCTGTAAAAAGGTACAGTCATAGAAACCCACAGTGGGGCTGTTCCACTCTGCATAGGGTCACGATGAGTCAGATGACTCAATGGCAGTGAGTTTTTGGCTTGAGAAGCCAACCTATTTAAAAAAAAAAAAATCATCATCATCATCATCATCAACCCCAGAAGAGTGACTGTCAAGTACTCTGGACTCATGAGGACCCCACGTATTGCAGAGTAGAACTGTGCCATAGGGAGTTCATGGCTCTCACCTTCCTGAAACAGGTTGCCAGGCCATTTTTCCACGGTATCTCTGGGGGAGTTCAAACTAACAACCTTTGGGTTAGTAGTCAAGTGCTTAACTGCCTGTGCCACCCAGGGACTCCGTAACCTGATTATAAAACATAACCAAGCCACTGTCGTCAGTAGAACCCTGTTCCCCGAGAGGCTGTCATCGCCATAGAAGCAGATGGCCACATCTCTCTGCTGCCCAGGGGCAGGTGGACTCAAAGCCACCATTAGCTCAGCAGTCAGGCACTTAACACTCTGTGCCACCCAGGGCTCCTTAACCTCGCTCTAACCAACCAACCAAAGCAAACTCACCGCCATCGAGTCAATGCTAACTCATAGTGACTCTCTAGGGTAGAACTGGCCCCACCCCCATGGGTTTCTGAGACTGTAACTATGGGAGCAGAAAGCCTCATCTTTTTTCCTTGGAGCGGCTGGTGGTTTCGAACTGCTGATCTTGCAGTCACCAGCCCAACATGTAATCACTACTCCACCAGGGCTCCCCAACCTATCTTTTTGCGGCTCTCTTGGATGCTCTGAGAAAAACAAGATTATCTTTCAAATTTGTTGCATATGCCTAATTGGATGGGCTGGAGAGAAAGAGGGGAGCTTGTTTTCTCCTTTTGTTAAATTATAGGCGGTTGCCAGGCTGGACCCTTCCCAAAGAAGGTGATAAACTATGTAGCTGAGTTTGGTTTTTATCTGTGTACCCAGTACACAGAGAAAGCAGTGGGAGTCTGCATCCACCGTCAGCACATGCTTAGTAAGGGCCTTGGGCACTGGATTGAGCTCTCTTGCTCTTGGGCAAGGGGGGCTGAGTTAGGGGGCTGCAAGGGACAGCCAGTGTGAGGGGTGGGATTGGTGTGATCCATTGGGGAGACTGAGAGAGGGCCCAACTCCCCCAGTTCAGTCCTTTTCTGACTTGGACACAGCACTTAATACAGAGCCTGAAAGGAAGCTGGTACTGCAATATCCCCGTCTTTAGGGAACACAAGCTTCCGGAAGAAGACACTTGGGATCAACTTTGCATCCTCAGAGCCCTGTGTCAATAAGTACCCGATACGTATTTGTTGAATGAACACAAGGCCTGGCTCTGGGCTGGGGACAACGTTTTCTCACTGTCCCCTTCAGAGTGTCCTGTGGCCCACTTTTAGGTCTCAAGGTCACTGCCAAGAAAGAGAAGCTGCTAAAGCATCACCCCTACATACCCACATGACTCAACCCCAACGTGAACACGAGCTCTTCGAAAACAAGCCTCTCAGGTGTCTGCGCTCCATCCTCTGAGGACAGTGTCAGCACCATCAGATAGGGATCAGGCCTGGTGACCTGCTGGTCCCCGGGCATCCATGTGGCCCAGAGGTCATCGGAGCAGGTCTGCTCAGCAGAGGCAGAAGGAGGAGATGGAAGCTCCAGGTCTACAGTGCAGGTGGCCTCTGACCCAGAACTGGGGTCACTGTCACAGTAGCACATAATGGACCAATGGAGAGATAGGCAGAGTCAGGCAGAAGAGCGAGCTCGGTGTCCAGGCCAGGGACACCTGACCTGTGGTATTAACTGAAGAAAGCAGGTGAGTCTCAGCAGGAGGTTAGTGAACCAGGATGCCTACAGGAAGCTGCCCTCCGTCAGGGCTTCAGGCCCCTGGGGAAGCTCTCCTTGTGCAAAAGATGCATTTCTTGAGCAATGAAAGGCAGGGTGGTGTAATGGTAAGGAGCTGGGCTGGAACTCCTGCAGGGTGATCTTGCAAAAGTTACTTTCCTTTTCTGGCTTCCGTTACAGCGTCTATAAAATGGGGCTGGCTACTTATCTCCCTCTTGGGAGTCCTGTTCGAGTAGTGGTTACCTGTTGGGCTGAGATCCACAAGGTCAGCAGTTTGAAACCACCAGTCACACTGGGGGAGAAAGACAAGCCTGTCTAGTCGCTACTCATGGAAACAGCTAGTCTCCGAAATTCACAGGGGCAGTTCTACCCTGTCCTACAGGGTACCTATGCATCAGCATCAACTCGATGGCAGTGAGATTGTTTTCTTGTTTGGTGCTTATCTCCTTCCTGAATACCTCAACGGGTGAAATGAAGAAATGCGCCTCAGGGTCTAGGAGGCACATTAAAAGGCCCCACCTGCTCTCAGTCATGCAGATAATAAAGCAGAAGACAATTCCGCTTCCCGGTTGTCACATAACAGGCAGCAGCCCAGCAGCTGTTCATAGTCTGGGCTAGATGGGTGTTTACATGGGACAGGCAAAATACCGCCTGTGAGTTCTGTCTGGACCACTGTCTGTTTTTGTAAATAAAGTTTTATTGGAACACAGCTGCACGTGTTTGTTTACGTATTGTGCCCTACTAACTGTCCAAATTAGTAGAAGCAACAGAGACAGGACCGTGCCAGAGGCAAAAAGCATTTACTCCCTGGTTCTTTTCAGCAAGTTCCTTGAGCCCATCCTCCTGGATTAGTAGCCAACCAGCTGGTTCCTGGACATTGGTGTGGGCAGCACTCTATGGGAACAGCTAGGAGCAGGTCACCGGGGCTCTGACATTGGTCTGTGACCTTGGCCCGGTTGTCCAGCTCTTCTAGACCCATTGCTTTCCCAGGTAAAGCAGGGGTGCTGCACCCAGGGAGGATTAACTTGCATAGTGCCCGGGCTGGGCCGAGCACAATGCCCACAGGCCAGTGAGGGTGCTATAAAGAGTAGTTGCTATTATTAGCTGTTCAACTTCTGCAGTTGAAAAGCCTATGCGAGCTCCCGGAAGCTGCCTGCAGCTCTTTCTCCAGACCCCCAGCCCATTTCCTGAATGTCTACATACCGAGGACATTAACAATTCCAATTGCTTCCCTGTGAGAGCTTAGGAATAGAAGGTGCAGAGAAGGGGGAGTCACAGTCAAGGCCACGAGGTCTCGCCCAGTAGCCCCAGAATGGGGCACACGGCTGCACTGTTGTGAGCTGCCCTCACGTGGGCCCTGACGCATGGCAATCCTTTGCACAGCAGAGTGAAGTGTTGCCTGGTCCCACACCCTCTTCACCATCTGGCCCACAGTAGGTACCCAATCTGCCTTGCCCAGCTGACATTTGGTTGCTTAACCCAGAAGGTAATTTATAGGCCCTGGGGGACCACTGACCTCTAGGACGCTAAGACCACCTAGCCAGAGGTGGATGGAGGGTTCATGGCAATCTGAAAGCAATCCGAGAAAGAGGAGCAGAAACCCCGAGCCGGGAGGTGGCTGCAGCTTCCCCTTGCCGGGAGGAGGCATTGCAATGGATTCCTGGGGAACAGATGGGCGAAGGGAAAATGTTGAAAAACAAAAGCAGGCGCATAAGGTCATGCATTGGCCCAAAATAGCTTGGGGACACTGAGCAGACGGATGTGAGCGGCACATCTTGGTGGAAAAGAGGCCAAGTTGATAAGCCGAAATAGTCTCCCCTCTCTGGGCACCCTGGCTCCTGCTCCAGACGGCCTCGGCACAGAGAAGAGGAGCACATCAGCACCGGCAAGCCCTGGATTTTTCCTCTGTTTTATGTATTGCGTTTGTTCCTAAAACCTTAAAAAAAAGCTTACCAGGAGCAAGCTTTGGAATTCCGGTCTGGAAGCTATTTTTCCTCCCTCCAGACATTTCATGACTCTGGTTTCTACAACAGCAGGCTCTGGTGACACTGCCAAGTTGCAAGAGAAGGGCACCTTATCTGTAAAGTCACGAATCTGAGGAGCCATGTGGTCTGCCGTTGGCGAGGGGGAAAGAATGCTGTCTCGGTTTCTTGGGGGATCAGAAGACAGACGTTTGGGGAGGTTGCTGGTACACTGTCCCTTGGCACACACCCAGGGGGAGGTCTGCTGATCACAGAATTACCAGTGACCCCCAGGGGGTAGCCAAGTTTGAACGCAAAGCCCGGTTTGGGGGCAAAGAACAAAACCTCTGAGAGCTGAAGCAAGAAGACACCCATGGCGATGAAGGGGGACAGATGGGGCCTACTACTCCCATCAAGAGTCACAGTCTCGGACCCCCCTCCCCACCCCGGGGCAGATGATCTACCCTGTCCCATCAGGTTGCTATGAGTCGGCATCGACTCAATGGCAGTGCGGATGGGGGTGAAAAGGATGTTCCTGGCTGCCTCTGCGTGGCTCTTCAGCCCTGTTTCTCCTTTGACTCTCTGACCTGCACCCCCCTTTCTGCTTCAGCTAGCCGCGGTAGGTTTCTGTGGTTTGCTGCCAGAGAATCTTGAGTTATAGGATGGGTCATGGTGGGACCCAAGGGCATGGCTTGGAATTGACTTTCACAAGGAAAGGAATTCAGAACCAGCAAGTCATCAGGAATCAGGGATCCTGTGCTCTCGTCTGTGTCCATTGGGAAAGCAATCAACTTCAGACACGGAAAACCTGATGTGGGTAGAATCGCAGACTGATTCTGTCCAGTGACTCACTGTGTCCAGAAGGGTACTAGCCAATACAAGGCAGATGGGGCTTCTTTTGCCTGTGGATGTTGGGAGCCTGTCAGCTCCACCATGTGAGTTCAGTGAGTCAGGACTAGTCTGCTGGGTGCGGAGAGACCGTGGGGAGCAGGGATCTGTCCAGCTGAGAGAGATCTTCTAGACCAGGGCTTCTCAGCCCCGGCATTTGGGACCAAATGATCCATCGTCTTGGGGGCTGTCGTGTGGGTGGTAGAATGTTTAGCAGCAACCTTGGCCTCTACCTGCTATATGATAGTAGCACACCCTCCTCCCTCAGTAATGACAAGCATTGCCAAGTATCGCCTGAGGGGTTACATCACCCAGACTGAGAACCACTGCTCTGATCCACGGGCATGACAGCATCAGCCATCTAGCCCCAGCCAAGCCAGCCCAGGCCAAGAAAATCACACAGCGTAACCTATGGCATCGTGAATCGTAAGGAATCTTGGTTATTTTAAACCACTAACTTTTGGGGTGCTTTGTTCCGTAGGACACGTATACTCGATGTCACCACTGACCGAGGCTGGGACTCATCAACCAGGAAGAGCTCGGGCCTGGTGCAGAGCTAGTTATGCCACTGGGACCCGGCCAGGTACCTCTTGTCTTTCCTCTTCCCTGTGCCTGGAAAGTGCCCTCCATCTTCTTGTGTGTTGCCCGAGGATCCCCAAGGTGGTGGCAGCTGTAAGTTAGGGCTCCAAGAGCGGGGGTCAGGGTGGGGGGAGAGCAAAAGGCTGTTCTCAGGGAGGTCACACTTTTTATTCTGGGGGAAGCCTTCCCCAGGATCTTCCCCTGAAATGCCATTGGCCGATCCTAGCTGTACGGGAGCCTGGAAAATCAAGCAGTCCAGCTTTCAGTCATACAGGAGAGGAAAGCAAAGATGAGGGGGCCTGAGAATGGCATTGGGAACCAAGGTCCAGTATCTGCTGCCTGGTCTCCTCTCTGGGCTCTCATGACTTCCTGCCTCTACTTGTACCTGTCCTGAGCTCTCTTTCCTTTGGACATCTGGCTGTGTTTCTCGGAACAAGAGGAGGGGTGGGGGTAGTCTCCTCCCCAGCCCTGGGACTGAATCAAGACACCCAGCTCCGGCACCATCTTCGACCCGAGTGGCACTTCAGTGTCCCACTGCTATGTCTCACCCAGAGAGCTGCTGAGAGGCCCAACCTTCCGTTAGGAGAGAAATCGGATTGGCTTGGCTTGAGTTGGGTATCAACACTTCGTCAATCAGCTAAGACCAAGGGGTGAGTGACTGTAGGGCAGACCTCAAGGTGGATGTGCATCCTCAGAGGCAGGGAGGGCATGGCTGAAAGACACCTGAAGAACTATCTGGTAGTTCAAGGAGGGTAGAAAAGAAGCTGCCCTAGATCAGTGGTTCTCAACCTGGGGGTCTCGACCCCCTTTGGGGGGGTATGTGTCAAACGACCCTTTCACAGGGGTCGCCTGATTCACAACAGTAGCAAATTTACAGTGATGAAGTACCAATGAAAATGATTTTATGGCTGGCGGTCACCACAACGTGAGGAACTGTATGAAAGGGTCGTGGCCTGAGGAAGGTTGAGAACTGCGGCCCTAGACCCTCCAGATTCCATGCCCATCGGATGGAAGCTCTGGGCTGGGTGGTTAGAAAAGGAAGAATAGTCTAATTGAAACAGATTTAAGTTTTTATGTGACACACGACCCAATTTCAAGCAAAATAAATGAAAGAAAGAAAGAAAAGAAGTGGCCCTTTAGGGCCATCGTCTTAGGGGGCAGTAAGGTCAGTTGTGTAGCATAGCCCACAACAGTCTACACACATCCTTTGTGCCTCTTTCTGGTAGTGAGTCGTGACTGGGGTCTCCCCCTGTCTGGAGGAAAGAAGAAAGATGGAAATCGCAGACGCAGGACGTGATTGGTCCAATGGACCCATGGACCACTCAGATGTCAGTCTCCAGAGTCCAGCAGAACCAAGGGGTGCCTGGCTCCCACGACCACTGAGCAGTCCTGAAGAGTGCAGGGGAAGGATGTGGACCCAACTCCAAATCAGGAGAGAGACCAGGCTCACTGGTCACATAGAGACGGGTGGAACCATCCGGACGATGGGCCTGCACCTTTGGGTACAGATCTGAACTTCCCCCTGTGGCTCCATTTCCAGCCAAGCAGTAGACAGGTCTGTAAGGGGACTGGTAGCACTACTGATGTCTGCAGACCTTAGAATGATTGACCATTTGGGATCAAAGGGCAGCATTTCCCGAAGGACAAAATCCAGGAAGATTTAGGAAAGAGGGAGGAATGGAGACCGGAAACACAGGGAGGAGGCGGGAGGGGTGATGCTGCACGGAAGGGGCTGCGGTGAATGAGAAGGGACAGAAGGCCATGCATCGCTGACTGCTGGATTGATGATCTCAGCAAGCCTTCCCCCCATTCACAATAAGAAGTTTGTTTGTTTTTTTAAAAAGAAAGTAGATGTAATGTTTGATTGAGTGCAAAAATGAACACATCCTTTGAAAGACATCAAAGATGGTCAGGTCGTAAATACGGTCATCACATGGGCATTACATTTAACTTAAGCACATTACAAATACACGCTCAACAAGCAAAGACTTTTGCATTTCATTGGCTCTCAAGTGCTGGCCAGGTCTACCCGAGGTGCTGCTTACCCACAGCGATCTACTCCAGGGCTGAGTGACAGATGACTGAGACTTCTGGGACATAGTACAGTACATATAAACAATACTATGGAGGCTGGTCTGGAAAATTTAAGGCGCTTTCAAGAGTATTTTTGAGCTCAGGTCATGTTCCCCTTCCTCACTGACTTTACATCCCAACCCTGTACGATGTGTGCTCACTGGAAGGTCCCCTTGTACTTTTAATCAGTAGAAAGAATACATTTGGTTTTGAAATATCAAAATATTTTTATTGTGGCTTTTTAAAAATAGAAGTACGTGATATTCCTGGAGTCGGGCTCGTCCTCCCGTTTTGTCTGGCTGTCCCGGTCAGACCAGAGAGGGCAGGGGTGGACGGAGAGAGGAGAGGACATTGAGAGAAGCAGAGAGCGGATCACGGGGCCCAGTGGCCTCTCCAAACCCCATCAAGGAGGAGTGGGTCCCCTGGACATTATCTGCTCTTTGGTGACTGGGAATTTGGTTCATCCTTGAGGCCTTGGGGCTTCAACTACTGGGCCATCTTGGGTGTAGCAGAACGGCAGCATGAGATGACTTAGAACCTTGAGTTCAAGACCCAGCTCTTGAACGTACTGTGTGATTTTAGGCTCCATTCAACCTCTCTTGGCATCAGCTGCTGCATCTTGAAATGGGGCACCTAATACTATTTTTCCTCCCAGGGCTTAGGGGAGGGTTAACTGAGAATATTTTGAAAACTGCAGAATGCCCAATGAAATCTAGTCATTGTTACAGAAGGGATAAAACTGACCGGCGACCTAAATTTATTATTCCAACATGGCCCCGATCACCGTGAGCGGACCATCTGCCCTATGGCTGGAGAGTACGGCTTGAGTGTTCTCTGGAGCTCCCTGGAGGTATAGATGTTTGCGTGCATCATGACCCAACCGTGGAGCCCTGTACGTGTATCCACCCAGGCCTAGGAATCTGGGCTACAGACTTAAACAGATCCTTCATATGCCCAAGTATTTATACACACCCACTCATTTTTTCAAAGAATCCCTCTCCCTGCACACTCTAAAATATAGTATTATACAAAATACCAGTCTAGAAAGCAAAACACTAGGTTAACAGTCTTTAAAGTCCTATGAAAGCATCTTAGTATTTTGACACAGAAGAGTCTGTCTGACTCACAGCGGCTGGTGAGAGACTGCCGGGAGGCCATTTCTCTAGCTCCTTCCACCAGGTCGAGCAAGCAGGGGATCCCGGCTGTACTTGCTTGTCGCTTCCTTCTTCATCATCCCCCTTTCTTGGTCTGTCTTTGGGGTAGTTTTCCTGGCTCCAGCCTTTAACAAACAAGAGAAGCACACAGACTCTATAAATCCTCGTCGCGAATGGCCTTAGTAGTTGTTACACAAATTAAAATGTTCGTTGTGGGGGAAAAGAAACAGAAAACCCCCAACAGAGGAGAAAAGAGTGGGTCAGATGATTCATTACTATGACCCTGGCCCTACGCAAAGATACCTATCATTCGTGGTTTGGTCTACGTGTGCATTTGTTTGTATTTATAGTCTAAAGGTCACTGTTGTTTTTTTTTTCTCTCTTCTACAGCGTCATGCTTTTGAGACCAGGGGCTCCTTGTGACGGCTAAACTCATGGAGGTGGAGTTTCTTTCTCCTTCAAAGCTGTCACTGAGTTGACTGTTATGTCTGTGATGTCGTGGAAACAAAAACAAACAAACAAACAAAAGCCAAAAAAAACACTACAGGCTATTTGAGGGATTCTGTCTTGTCCTGTGTCTAGCACGCTGCCCCCTCTCCCTCATCACACAGGAAGGGCAGTGTGTTGGAGACCCGGCCCCTCGGCCACAGCTGACTGAATACTTGGCCTGGGCGGAGTTATTAAGATGATCACTCCTGGGCTGTGGGCCATGGGCTCTGAGAAAGGGTGACGGAACTATCACATGGCTGGAGGAGAACATTTAGCTGACGCATGGAGGGAGGTAGAGGGGACACGTGGTATGTGGGTGTGTGCACGTGTGCACACGCGTGTGACATGTGAGCCAGGGTGTGAGATCTGGTAGCTGACCCGCTCATATTCAAGCCCATGTTTCCTTTCAGGCCTTTGCGTTATGAGGCACCACTCCTGTTGGAATCTCCTCTCCTCCTTTCTGAGTGGGTTTCTGCTCGCCCTCAAGAAACTCCAAACCCAGAGCCCCGAACCCACTGCCTTCAAGTTGATTTTGACTCACGGGATTCCGCAGGACAGGGGAGAACTGCCCATCAGGTTTCCAAGGCTCTGAGTGGGAACCGATTCCTTGCGGGTGAGTTTGGCTTGGGTGCTATTTCCAGAAACCGCCTGCCTTGTCTCTCTCCCGCTGTGCGGCTGGTGGGTTCAAACCATGACCCTGTGGCTGGCAGCAGAACACTCGACCCATGGCACTACCAGGCATCCTTTCAAGAAACACAGACACACACCCACACACACATACACCCTCTGTAGATACAATTCTAACTTGCAGGCTTCGTCCCCACGGGATGGACAGAATCGAGTGGACGGCAGTGAGTTTGGTGGCAGTTGTCCAGCCTCATGAAGATTTTTGACTCCAACGTTAGGACACAAAAATCCTTGAGAGGAACAAGGCTGCACATGGAGCTCGAGTTTCAGCTTCACCCCTGCGCACCTCCCCTGTGGCCCTCCATTTCCACCTGCTCCGTCTTCCTCAGAGGGCCGAGGGGGGAGGATCTGGGGGAAGTCAACAGAAGGGGCCTTGAGGGCCAGCTCTTCAGCTCTTTTGACTTTAAGACAGGCTTACAAAGCACCTTGCAGACAGAACTCAACAGTCACTTCCGTGTCAGGAAGGCTACCCTCTCTGCCCTGGGCCACAAAGTGAGTATTGGTGGGGATGCCCAGGGAGAGAGAAATCAGTAGCACATTTGAATACTTTCTGCCACCGAACAACCTTTGCTTTGTTGTTCTTTTCCAATGGGTCCTGGAGGCCCAGTGTCCACTCTGGGTGTGGGTGTGGGCGCACTTATGGGGGTTGGAGCCAGGGAGTTTGTTAAAAATAAAGAGCCCTGTGTCCCCATGCCATGCCCACCCCACCCCCTCAGTTCCCCACGCCCAGGAATGGAGGGAGCTTGGGGTAGAAAGCCCTTTTTCACAGGGACAAGGGGGATGGGGCAGGGGGTAGGGGGACAGGGGGGTGGGGGCTGACCTGGAAGAAGAGGAGACTGGGGAATGTGAAAATGCAAATGCTGTGGGCAGGAAGGGCTGGGGAAGGCTCGCAGAGTCCACCGAGTAAAGACGGCCAGGGAACCTCGGGCCTCACCCTTGGACTGCAAAAGAGGGAGCGAAGCCAGTCACCTGCGCAGTGACACCCAGGTGCAAGGTGCTGTTAACTCCCCAGTCCCCAGACTCTTGGCACCCAGTGCCCATCCGGACCTGACCGTTGTGAAACACAGGGCTTTCACAGGCAGATCTCTGGAAGTAGGGTGCCAGCCTTTCTCCCAAGTCTTTCTTCCTCTGGAAGCTTTGCTGAAACTGGTCCAACATCACAGCAACTCAGGGTACACAACAAATAGCCCCCCACTGTCTAGCCGAGTCCGAGTCACAGGGACGCCCTAAGATAGTGTCGGAACTGCTCCGCTTCACGGGAGCAGACAGCCTCCTCTTTCCCTCGCGCAGCAGCTCCTGGGTTCAAACCGCCCACCTTGCCGGCTGACCTTCTGGGATAGTAGTCGCTGTGGGCTCATCCCACTGGGCCCTCACCCCCACGCCAGGAGAAAGCAAGACCCCAGTCTGTTTCCACACAGCTTCAGGCCTCGGTTTAAATATCCCTTCTTCAGGCAGGGTGGGTGGGGGCAGGTGGGGATGGGGGAGGGTCCTCTCCTGTTCCCTGGACGGGGGCCAGGGGTGGCAGCAGTGTGGTGAGCTAGGCTTAGTCCACTGGCCTTTCCCTTCACCACAAACATTTGTATGACCAGTTATTTAATTAATGACTCGTATCTACTTTAAAAACAAAAACAAGGCAGGGAAGCAGGAATTTTTTGTCTGTTTCTGTTTGGGCGAATCTAGTCTTTCTCAACCTTTTCCTCCCCCATCAGCACCACCAATGACCTGCTGCTGCTTCTTTTTCCTTTTAACTTGGCACATGTCATGAGCAAAGACCAGTTGTTTGAAAACGTCGTTGTCACAGTTGTTGTAAAGGAGGTTGAGCAGGGACGGGCGGACAGACGGACTCACTCCACAACAGCTGGAACAATGAGGCCAGCACCTCCGAGCTCATGGAGACCTGTGGGACCCGGGCAGCAGCGTCCCGATACTTGAGTCGGAGCCGACCCAGCGGCAGCTAACAACGACATGACGACAGGAAGCTGCCGTGGAAAACAGAACCAGGGGGTGGCCTTCGGAGGACAGGAAGCAAAACCCCAAAAGGCCTGAAGAAGCAAGGAAGTCCCGGTTCTGCGCTGGCCAGCTGGAGAGGGAGTTCTTTCCTGAGGGCACCAGGAGCCTGCCAAGAGCAGGTGTTACACGCCCCGCCTTTGTCAGGGGACCGCATTGACCTATCGCTCTGAGGGCTCAGGGCACACTGTAGTGGACAGAGACCCCAACGACACTGTTGGAGGGTCCTGGCGGGGATCCCACACTTCAGACTGCCAAGCTCCACTGGACATGTGGATGGACTGGAAGACCCCTTTCGCTCTTAAGCTTAAGCCCCGTTTGACCTCCACTCTGTTAAGTGTAGCCATCGTACCAATCACATCCGTGGCTGCGGAGTGGATTCTGACTCAGGGCAATCACATGACTCCTGCGACGGCTGAGAGCTGGGCTGTGGGGTTTTCAAGGCTGGGACCTTTCCCAAGCAGGGGCCAGTCCTTACTGTGCGGAGTGGGCTCCGACCAAGGGGGCACCTCTAGAGGTGCTCCGCTCTCCCAGCACCCCACTTCTAGTCTTAGGACAAGGCTTGGGCTGAGACGAGCCTTCTGCTTTCCACGGCCTTCCTTGGACATTAAATGTCTTTGCTTTTTTCCAACGAGAGTTTTGTCTCCGAACAAATGGTGGCTTTCCCTCACATTCCAACACATCTCTCTCTTCCCTCATCTGGAATGTGTTAGCTTTTGAGCCTTGAGAGCTCGCCTCTACTTTTTCACCAAGTGGGAAAGCGACTTGGGCCAATTCCAGTTCCAGGGTGGAACTGTGGATGGCAACGCTTCAACCTGCTTTGGATATCACAGACTGGATTCTCAACTCTTGGGGAAAGAACAAGTATTTCTAGGGGATGCTTCCTTGACATCAAAGAGATTCCTTACCTCCGAAGGAGGGCAAGGAGCATGCACCTGGGGGAAGGTGAGTTTGTTAGCCTTTTTCCTACTTGCCTATGTGACTCCAGACTTGCTATTTCTAGTCTCTGTGTTTTGGACACCTCATCCTGAGTCGGGCAAGAACAACGCCCTCCTAGACAGGCTGTTAAAGGAGGCTGTGCATGTCCAGGGCTCAGCTGTATACCTGGAACACAGGAAATGCTCAGCATGTTTAGGGGCGGCAGGCAGTGCTGCCCACCAGATCCCCCAGAGGTGCTTACTGTTGTGGTGCAGTGAATGACTTAATATGGCCCTTTACCAGACATGGTCTTGTAACCCTCACGGAGTGAGTGGGTGGGTCTATGAAAGTTAGGTTCTTATGGCCCCCAAGTACATTGGATTTGCCAATAAAGCAAATAGGCACGTGGCACCATGCTGAGGGTGGGGCTATGCAAATAAGGTACACGAGATCCTCCACAAAGCGATTGGTCAGTTTTGGCATCCAGCAAGGTTTAAGAGTGCCAGCTCAGAGTGGGACCTCACAACCCTCAGTCAAGACAGAAGAGCTGGGAGTCCAGTGGACCTGGCAGTCCCTGAGCTGAGAACCTCCTGGACCTGAGAGAGAGAGCGAGAGAACGAGCTGTCACAGTCGGTGATGGCAAGAGGAAGCAGCCAACGACGCGGGAGCATCCGGAGTCAGAGAAATGGTGACAGCAAAACCAGGAAGCCCACTTGAGATGGGGCGGGGTCTTCTCAGTCCATGAGTGAGGCACCTACCATGGGCGTGCAGGCCTGGGTGTCAGAGAACTGAGTGCCCTCCAGCCCGAGACTACGGGTGGAGTCTCGTGCCTAAGGGGGACTTATTGGCCGAGCTGAAAGAGCTTCCTAATGCTTGTTTCAGCCAAGTGGAGGCCCGACTGATGAAATGCGAGGAAGCCTGTCCTGATGAGGTCAAGAGGAGCCTTCCTCCGGGGGCCCAGAGGTGCTCTACATGGCCAAGAGGAGGTGAGAGAGCTGCCCTGCATTGAAGAAGGGAGACTTTGCCTGTGTGCTTCCTGATCCTGAACCGTAAATTTGTGCTTCCCTGATAAACCCCATCATTGTGGATATGGTCTGTGAGTTCTGGTGGCCCCTGACGTGAAGTACTGCACCCTGAAGGGAAGGAGACAGTGCAGTGGGAGCAGAGGCATATCTAAGGATGGTGCGTGCCCTGGTTCCCACTGAAGGAGGGTGGGCATTAAGTAGCTTCCATTGACCATCGCACTATCCATAGCCAGCTATGAGAGATCACTCAGTAATGGAAACTGATTGTCACAGCGGCTATTTGCCTTGGTGTGGGAGGCACGGCTGGTGACAAACATGGTAGACAAGTTGGAGGGTGGAAAGTCTGTTTGAGGAGCAGCCTTGGGGTGTTCGGTTTGATGCTTCTTCACCCTCGAGACACAGCGGCCAACACCAGGCCATTGTCGCAAACGGGTTTCTCTCCACTCTCGGGCTCACCTGGAAATTTGAGCTCTGCATCTTGCTCTTCACCAGCTCTACAAATATCCGTCTCTTTAACACAGAAAGAAGAAGGACAGAATTTAGCTGCTACTCCTCTTTGCCTACTGCACCAAGGGGAAACAAAGAAAGGATTCGCCTCACCTTTCAGGCGCTTCTCATTTGGATTGTGGGGCCAGGGAGTGAGAGCATAGGGGTGTGTGATGTCTTCAGGGGGGTGGTTTGGGGGGCAATGGTACAGTCAGTGTAAGACACGAAAGAACAATAATAATATATAATTGATCAAGGATTCACGAGGGTGGGAGGGTAGGGGAAAATAAAAAAGGAACTATACCATGGACTCAAGTAGAAATAAATTGTTTTGGAGATGTTGATGGCTATATATGTACAAGTGTGCTTCATACTATTGAATGATGGATGGTTATATGATTTGTAAGAGCCCCCCCACCCCAAAATGAATAATTAAAAAATAAAAAATCCTGTTGAGTCTCTTGGAATCTCTGGGGATGGGGTGGTGGCCAACTGTGGTTCAGTGAGAAATACCACACTGTCCTTGGAGGGCAAATCCGCTTTAGCTGGGAGCAGAATCTCAAAGAGGAGGTGGAAGAGGCCACGGGCCTCTGGTGGATTTCTACCTAAGGACCCCAGCACCCTAGGTCTCAGTGACTGCAGGGATGTCCTATGAGAAGGTGCCATCACCCCACCTCTGAAGCATGCGCTGTCCCTGGGGTTTGATTTCCATAGGCAGACCCTGGTTTCCTCTAGGGCCTGACTCTCAGAGACTCTCCCTGAAGAAAGAGTGTCCCCCAGGAATGAGGGACACCACAGTGGACAAGAGACCTGGGGCCTCTTTCCTAGCCTGATACACTCATTCAGGTGACTGGGCAGAGGCACTGGAAAGAGGAGGTTTTGGGAGAGCCTTGGACTTCTGCTGGATCACCAACCTGATGCCTACATGAGCTAGGGAACTAAAAGAAATGATGGAGTGGGCTGGTAGGGAGGGCGGCAAGCCAAGGAAAGGGTCTTCTCTAAGGGGGCTGGAAGGCGCCCTGGTAGTGTTGTGGTTATGGGTTGGGCTGAGATCCACATGGTCGGCAGTTAGAAACCACCAGCAGCTCCCCAGGAGAAGGAGCGGGCTTTCTACTCCCATCAACAGTTAACAGTCTCCGAAACCCACAGGGGGACGCTGTGAGTCAGCATTGAATCAATGGCGTGAGCTTGGTTTAAGGGGGCTGGAGGAGGATCTTGTGGAAATGCAAGCCTAGTATCACCAGATTGTCCACATCTCCAAGGGAAGCTCAAAATCTAGAGTGCTCCATGAAAATGCCCTATTTTAGAAGAAAGAAAGGGGAGGAGAAATTTCACATGCCAAGTGAAATACGCCATGGCCTACCATTTTTGTGATGTCCGCATGAGAGCCTGCCCTTGACATCAAATGAGGTCTCAGTAAATATTTGTGGTGGGGTTCCAGATAAGATACAGGATGCCCCGTTGGATGCTAATGTGACAATTAGACAGTTAAGTTGGCATAAGTATGTCCCAAATAGTATTTGGGAATACTTTTACAAAAAAAGTATCCATTGTTTATCAGAATTTCAAATTTAATGGAATGTCGTGTTCCCCCCTCCCCCCACCCTAAATCTGGAAATCCCGTAGGTGTGGGTAACCAAAACTCAGAGGGAATGAGTAAGGTTGTCTTTTGGGGCAGGGGCATAGGGCTGGTAAGTTTCTTTCATTCTCAAAAAAGGATGCTAATTTTATCCCCAGCACAACTGTCCTAAAAGGCGATGGGCCCACATTTAACTGATAACTTGTCCTCCAGGCATTTTCCATGGAGGAGGCCTTAAGTCTGAAGTCACTTAATACTCATATTTGCCACAATCTCAGCGGGGAGGAATTACGCTGAGAAGTTAGTCACCATGGAATTTCCTAGACCTTGTAAAGTAGTATTTTTGTTGGTTTTCCATTTCACCCATGATCCAAGCAAAATCCCATGAGGAATCGGACATGTCAATAGACAAACAGGATTTTGTGTGTGTGTGTGTGTGTGTGTGTGTGTGCATACGTCAATAACCTCAACCCTCTGTGGAGCTTGAGGGCTTCAGGAAACCCTGGTTTGAATGCTGTTCCCAAATATATTCCTGGTTGAAGCCTGTTCAGTGGACACCCAACCACCGGCAGTACAGAGCCTGTTCCCTGCAGAGCTGCTTCCACTGAACTTTATTGAATTCACTGGGATGTGATGGCATCAGTCTGTCTCAAGGGCTACTGATCAGAGGTGATCAAGCCACCGCATCTGTCTTGCTCCTGTGCTAAGGGTACCCTTACGGATGTTGTGTCTTGTGTCGTGCAATGCTTGTCTAGGGCAGTGGTTCTCAACCTTCCCAATGCTGCCACCCCCTTTCATACAGTTTCTCATGTTGTGGTGACCCCCCAACCATAAGATTATTTTCGTTGCTACTTCATAAATGTAATTTTGCTACTGTTATGAATCGTAATATAAATGTCTGATATGCAGGATGTATTTTCATTGTTACAAATTGAACATAATTAAGCATAGTGATTAATCACAAAACAATATGTAATTATATATTGTGAAATATTTATTTCTAATGACAAATAAATAAAATGTCTTGAAGCATGGTATAGCATGGGTAACAGTCTTAATGTAACAACAGTAAACTACATTGTTACATTTTGCCACAGTATGGGTAAAAAGTCAACGTCTTGGTTTCTAAGACCATTGGAAATATGTGTTTTCCAATGGTCTTAGGCGACCCCTGTGAAAGGGTCATTTGACCCCCAAAGGGGTCATGACCCACAGGTTGAGAAGCGCTGGTCTAGGGGGAGAGCCAGGAGTCTTTATTCTAAGAAATTTCTGAGTATCACATCCAATGGTCTCCTGGACACTGGGACTATGGGCCAGGTTGGATTGTCCACTTCTCACTGGCTGCCAGGAAGCTCAGAGTCAATGAAGGGCTCCCTCTTGGTGGGCGTGGAGGCCATGACAGTTGGCACTTGCCCCTCCACCCTTGGTTCCACTTTACACCCACCCTTTCCCCGTCTTTCACCCCACTTCTTTCACTCCGAGGGCAGGGAGCCCTTTTCCTGGCGCTCCTCCACCCTCCCTTCTCCCCCTCTTTTCTTATGTTCTTATCTCCAAGTCCCCCGATCATCTTGTACCTGGCATGGTTCCTCTGCTAGTCAAAATTGCCTGCCTTATCATGCCTCAAAAATACTGGGCTGGGTGTTTGCTTGTCTCCGGGACCATTTGTTTAAGTTGCAGGTGAGGGAGGAGGCAGGGGAGGGAGAGGGACGCTGTGTATGTGTGTGTGTGTGTGTGTTGGCCTGTACATTCTGTAAGCTCTTACCTTTTGGGTATTCTGGGTCTATTTGGGGTCTGGCTGTAAGACTGAGAAACACTTCCATACCTGCCTCTCTTTCTCTTTGAAGGAACAGTTGCAAGATGTTGATTCCTTTGCATTTCTCTGCTGGTGGTCCTCTAAATGCTCCTGAGAGGAAATATCAGGCGGGCAAGAAAGTGTTTAAGGTACTTTGGGCTGTTGTAGCCTGTGAGACAAGTCCAGGCTTTCTAAGAGAGGCTGCCATTCACTGGAATTGGTGGGCAGAAGATGGGGTGTGGGTGGGGTGGGCGGTGGGTTTCCCTTCAGCCATGCATCTGCCCCTACTGTGCTACGCCACTGTGTTTTATTTCTTCATCCTTAGTGGGCCCCAGGGTACCACCCCCAAGCCTTATTCCATTCTCATCATACACGTCTACCAGTTTACCAGCTTCAGCCCCAAACAGGCAGATGGCACCAAGAGAACTCGGGCCTTGAACCTATTTGGGAGCCAGTGAGTCTTGGGGAATTGAGAATTAAGGATCGTAAGATGTTGATATAAGCACTTTTGGTGATCCTACGTGCTAGGTCCTCTGCTAAGGGTTTATCTTCAAGATGAAGGGTCTGGGGCAACTAAGCAGAGGGACCTTAGGGGCCCCTGGCCCCAGCCAGAATCAGGAGGACAAAGCTCCTGGCCAGGTTTGATGGACAGGAGCCCGGAAGGAGGTCTGAGCTGCTTCCTCAGCTAGAAGCAGTCCACCCACTTCCGCCTCTCTCACACTTCAAACCCGGAGACGGGGCCAAGGACAGGCATCTGTGCCTCTGAAATAGCAACCTCTGTGTATTTAAAGGCCGATCGAAACCCCAGCCTTGACCCATTCACAAAACTGTGTCTTGGCTCTAGTCCTCGTTGTATTCACCGCGCAGAAAAGTGGGCTTCACAAAACTGCTGCGGGTTTGAGGAGACTAAGAGAAACGTTTTCGGGGTTTGCTGCAGCATCAGCTGATGTCTCTGGGAGAAATACAGGCGGCAACCCCCTCCCCCCAAAAAAGGTTGCCACTGAGCAGCTAGCTGCTTGTGTGCTTTGGGCAGCATGTGCATCGTGTCATTGAACCTCCCCGCTGTCCCAGGAAGTGGGTCCCATGATCATTTTGTTGTTGAGAAACCTGAGACCTGGAGATAAGGCCACTTATGGGAGGTCTCTCGGGGACAGCGGGAGGCGGGAACTCAATTTTGTTTGCCTCCCAAGTCAGCCTCTTCACGTGGAGACAGACTGCTGCCTAATCTAGTGATATAGGAATGCACAGACTGATCACACTGCCACGGGGGAAGCGGGAGGGGCGGGAACACTCCAGAGACAGAGCCCAATGACCACGAGGGTCTCTGGGAAAGCCCCCCACAGTAGGCCCCATTTTCACAGCCAACTATATTAGTAGGGAAGCATGACTGAATTCTGGTAAGTTCTGCTTAGCGATGAGATGACGTGATATCCAGATATTAAAACCACCTCAGCTTCAGGGGTGGGGGCGGGGTGGTTCTGGGGCTCAATCATGATTTAGTGAAACTCCAAGGTGAGTAACTGCACTTCCTTCACCCCATCTTTATGGGGGTGCACAGTGCTAACATTTTATACAAAGGCTTTAAAACCTCCAGTTTAAAAGTGAAATATACTCCCAGGAAGGAACCAAAAAAGAAGAAAGAGCTACAGATGTGCCCTTTAGTGTGCAAAACTTTAAAATTGATCTATCCATCCATCCACCCACCCACCTATCGCTCTATCTATATTCCTGGCAAAAGAATTTCTCTGACAGTATAGTAAGACCAAAATTGACCCACGGACTGAAGCCCCAGGAGCAATGGTGAGTGGAGTATGAAGGGCCACCTCATAGGAGAGACAAAGGTGGGACATTGGCTTTAGAGTCAGGGGATCTTGGTGTGCTCCCATCCCTATGACTGGGTATCCCGGTAACACAGTCTATCACCTACCCCACCCCAGCTTTCGCATCTCTCCCATGGGCCAGCCCTCTGCAGCCTCTCTCAGGGGTGCTGTGAGAGGAGGGGTGTGGAGAGAGGCGCAGGTGCCTGCCCTGGAGGAGCGATCAGTCAGCCACACCATTGGGGTTGCTGGGTTGGTCCTTGGGGATCTTACCCATTCTTCCCCCATTTGTTAATCCTGCACGTCTGAAAGTTCCCAACTCTGGCTTCTGTATCCCTGGGACACCCCCCCCCCCAAATGTGTTTCACGTGGCCATTTCAGCTCCTTCTCCCACGGAGAGGTGCCTAGTGCCAAGCCGGCTGGCATGGCCCCTGCATTGTGTAAGAGCGAGACAGCCCATGCATAATGCATCTGCAGCCTGATTATGCAAATCCTCGGGCTTCTTATGTCTTCAGTCAGCACATGACAATGGGCTTTGGGGGGCCCTCTGCTGTCCCATTCTGTGGTTTGGTAGGTCTGCTTTAGGGGCTAGCCTGCCAAGCTGGGCTGGGGGCTGGGATGGAGTAGGGGTGGAGTGCTTGGGACAGAGTCCCCATCAAAGGGGAAGTCAGGTCTCTGTTATTATTGTCCAGCTTGCCTGGCATGAAAGGAGACCATTCCTGCCTGAGGCAGCCCCAGGACACATGCAGAGGGAGGCCTGTGATGTTTAATTCAGGGCCTGAGTGTAGGGCCCTGCTTTCATTCCTGGGGCTGGAAGCTGGCGAGCTAGTCCGCTGAATGGAAGGCAGGATTCTGCATGGTGCGCCCATGGCTAGAGTCTTTGGCTGGGGGTGGGGTGGGGATGAGGGGGCATCCCTCTATGGGGTCTTGGCCTCCTTAGAGCTCATGTGAGGGTATCACACTCACACACGTGCATACACACACATACAATCATGCACCCTCACCCACACTCACACACACATGCATTCAAGTGTATGCATTCCCATGCACATGTACTCACACATAGTCATACACATGCACACAGGACAGCTGTGCTCATACAAACACACAACCACATGTCAGAAAAACCAACAGTTACAAGGAGGACAATTGGGGCTAACCCAGCACAGAGCACAGGAGCTCAGGCCAAAGAGATCTGGGGTCAGGGGATTGTCTACTGCGCTCAGCTGCTGTGTGGGGGCTCAAGTCCACCCAGGTGCCTCAGAAAGACAGGCCTCGTGACCCCGTTCTGACTCGCCAGCCATGGGAACCCACCCTCTGGAGCACAGTTCAACTGAGGCACCCGTGGGGCTGCTGTTGAGTTGGCATCAATTCAATGGCTTCTGGTGCTACTGGTACTTGTGTGAATTTGGGTCAATCACTTAGTTCTCTGGGGTTCAGTTTCTGCGTCTGAAAAATGAGGATCACTGTACCCAGGCGCAGGGCTAGTTTAGGCATCAAGAAACTGGGCGTGACTGGAGCCCTGTGTCTGCCTGTAGACCGTTATGAGAAATGGGCCTTAATCTGCCTGCATGCATGATCCCAGCTATGAGATTTGCTTTACCTTGGGCAGGAGTTAAAGAAAAGGAATGATTTGCTTCTGCTTAGAAGTCAAGCCAATGCCATTTACCAACTCTACCTGACCACCTGTTTGGAGGGCAAACTCCAACTCCTTTGAAGCACAATGCCTGCACTGTTACTTTGGCCAGTCTTCTGCTCTAGGCTGGTTTATGTGGTTAACAGACCCAGGTAGCCTTTGGCAGAACACTTACCCCGGTTAAATTAGCCTGAAGTCAGCTTTTTACCTGTCTGTTCCCCACAAAAGGGATCATATGTTCTTCAAGGGCACCCATCCATTCACCCACCCACTTGTCTAGTCACTGACCTAACCATGTATGAATCCATCTATTTATCTACCATCCACTCAACAACCATTTATTGGTATCTACTATGTATCAGGCACTCAGAATAGTGAACTAAAATCCCTCCTCTCAGAAGGGTCACTTATCTAAGCAGCCCTGGCACATGGCAGGACAATAACTATTCACTTAATAGTGTGGTGCAGTGAATTACTTAATATGGCTATCCACATTACAACCCCCACTAAATGGGTGGTGCTATGCAAATAAGGTGTTTACACCCAACAAGTAAATTGGACAGCTTGCTAATAATGGAAATAAAGTGTGTAGCACCCTTCTGGGAATGGGACCATGCAAATAAGGTGTATGGACCTCTAAGGAGGGATGGGCCAGTTTCATCATCCTGCTGGGCTTCAAAGAATGTCCATCCCAGAGCACAGGGGGCACCTGAATTCCACCAAAGAGAATAGATGAAAGTAGAGCAGGTCTTTGGACCTGAGGTGCCTGGGTTAAGAACCTCCTAGACCCAGGAGACAGAGAGCTGTAACATGGGAGGCGGCGACAGCGTCAGAGTAGCGTCAGGAACATGGCTGGAGTGGAGGCATCAGGACGAGGAGAGGCTGGCAGAAGGCGGGCCTGTGGGCCTTCCAGCTGACAGCATGAGAAAGCTGCTATAGGTGGCCAACATGGCCATGTAGACACGGACAGGCATAACTCCTCCAGGCCGGAGGCCTGCTGGCAGAGTGGTGGCACCCTGACTTAGAGAGAGCTCTGTGACACTTGCCTGGGCAGGGCAGAGACCAGCTGAGGACCAGAGAGAGGCCTGTTTTGGTAGAACTATCTTGAGTCATTTCTAATCCTGACTTGTAAGCTCCTACTCCCCCCCCAATCAGCCCCATAATCCTGAGTGTGGTCCGTGAGTGGCCTTTGCTGTGAGTGATCGAACCCAGCAGAGAAACAGGAAGTTCTGGGGCAGGGCCAGATGTATCCACATGGGTTAAAATGGCTGGAAAGGGGACACGTGTCGGACCTTCCCTTCAGAGGATCAGCGTGGGGCTGTCAAGGCTGATGATCCTTCTCCTATCTTGTGAAGTTATTAGTCGGATACCTCCCAGGCTATGGCATCTTGACAAATAGCCACTGTTTTTATAGATGCAGTTGAATACCCTAACTCTCAGAGAGGTTAAGAAACCTGCAAAGGGTCACACAGCAAGCGGTAGAGCCACAGTCTAAATCTGACACTACAGCTCTGCCACCCTCCATACGCCAGCAAATGCCTTCTGCACTCCTGGGCGCCTCCTTGGGCCACACTGGGCTGTTTCCAAACCGGGGCCTCTCACCTTCTGCTGCCGGATCACTCTGTTGGTCCTCTTCTCCTGACACAGCTGCTGCTCCGTGCGCTCCAGGGCCTCCTTCAGCAGGGCCTTCTCTTCAGCCTCTTTGTAGATCTCGTCCTCCAGCTTGGCCACCTGCGACTGGTACATCTGAATGGACACTTTGCTCTGCCTGGGCAGACGGGAGGGACTCAGGCTCTTTCCTCTCCTAGACCTGGGGGGCTGGGCTCTCAACCTACTTTCATATGCATCTCGCCCATTGGTTCCATTAGGAACACATCTGGCGGTCAGAGGGAGGGATACCTAGCCAAGGGGTGGACTGTTTAGCACGAGGGTGGCAACAGGTATGAAAACCGTCTCCGCTAACTTCCGGGAGAGGGAGCCACGGGTTGAGCTGAATGTAGGATTGGATTAGCAAAAGCTCTTCCACTAACTGCCATCCAGTTGGTGCCGACTCATAGTGCCCCACCGGGCAGGGTAGAACTGCCCCTGTGAGTTTCCGAGTCTTTACAGGAGTAGAAAGCCCTGTCTTTCACCCATGGAAATGGCTGGTGGTTTTGAACTACTGGCCTTGAGGACCGCAGCCCCACATGTAACCACTACGCCACCAGGGCTCCAGGAGGAAAAGCACACACATGGTAAAACTAAGCTGACCAGATTTTAACATTGATAAAGCGGGACAAAAGCGGGACACCATTGATAAAACTCATATCCTGGTGAAATAGCCACATGGCAGCCGAAAACCGTCTACCCTAGCTTGTCGTGCATTCTTTCCAAAAATCGGGACTTTTTAAAAACGCCACGGGATGTGGGAAAAATTGTTCAAAATCAAGACTGTCCTGCCAAAAATGGGACGTCTGGTCACCTTAGCGTAAAACCGAAGTCGAGATTCACAAAAGGCTGAGCTTGGGCATGAAGAGAGAGTGGAGAAAAGAGAGAACGGATGTTACAAGGACCGCTTTCTCATGGAGAGACTCGCCTCGCCCAGGCCCGCGCCATCCTCCCTCCCCAGTATCTTAGGATTAGCACCCTGGGCCTTCTGCCCTCTGTCACAGTCCTTGGTTTCTGCTGCTTCCCGGAGGGTCCGCCAGGAGAAGGGAGACCGGGCGGTACCTGAGCTGTTCAATGTCTTTCTCGTAGCCTCTCAGAAGCTCCTCTTTCCTCTCCAGCCTGTTCTTGAGTTGGGTGATCTTATCAAACACAACATCCAGGTCCCTCTGTCGAAGCTGGTTGACTCGCTCCCTCTCTTTGGGGGACAGGTATTTCATGGACACCTGGCCTGGCATATCCTTGATGTTCATCAGACTCATGAGAGTTTTACTCATATCCAAGTACTGCAAGGCAAGCAAAGGATCCCTGGTGGCGCAGTGGGTTTCTCATCGGGCTGCTAAGCCCAAGGTCAGTAGTTTGAAACCACCGGTTGCTCCGTGGGAGAAAGACGAGGCTTTCTACCCCTGTGCAGAGTTCCAGTCTCTCCCCTGTCCTGTAGGGTCACTCTGAGTCAGAATCCACTCGATGGCAGTGAGTAGCTACTGAGTGTTTCTGGTTGGCAAGGCAAGGGCACAGGTCAGAGAAGTTGCCCATGACTGCTGGAGGCCGTGCTAAGTAAGTGAATGTCCAGTTCTAGCACACACAGCTTCTGCAGTTGCAGAGAACAAACATGCTTTGGAACTGAGTGCCGTTGAAGCCTCAGTGACTCTAATGCCCTGGCCCCGGCCCCGCCCCAAGCCATTTACACGGTGCCTTTTTGTGACCTGAGAGTGGGGGGGAAATGACAACGGTTATAAACATTTCTTCTAGCGACCTAGACTTTCAAGGGATTCTGTTAGGCGATTTCTGACCCACGCTGGGGTAGTCAATGGGCCGTGTGGAGTCCTTGTCACAACTCAACAGGTGGATAAGCTCCAGTTACCCGACCCCCTGGTGAACGCTGACTGCAGGAGCCCTGGGCGCTGGGCAGGAGAGGCAGGGACGCGGCATTTACATACCAGCTTCTCGCTGAGATCCAAAGCCTCCACTGCATCCGTTTTCCCTGACTTCTCAACGGCTGGACTGGGCCGCGAGTTGGAAGGGCTGTTTTGAGACTGCAAAAAGGAAAAAGAAGAAAGCATTTTCTCTTGGATGCTGAGTTAGTTAATTGTGCCAGCCTGGCTGATAATCACTTGTGGGGCTAATTGAAAGGCGGAGGGATAAATGGGTGGTGAGCCTCGCCTTT